TGATATCAATCTCCAATACAGCTTCAACAGCACACAGGCTAACAGGTCTTAATCCAATACAGCTTCAACAGCACACAGGCTAACAAGTCTTACATTCGGACAACAAGACTTGGATTAAGACCTGTTAGCCTGTGTGCTGTTGAAGCTGTATTGGAGATTGATATCATTATTGAATATAATAAGACAACCAGGGATTCGAATTTGGGTTGATAAAGAGTTCCATCGAAACGAACAACCACTCGAGATGTTCGTCTTCTTGTTCTTGTTGATGTCATCTTCTGTGGGTGACGTCCTGTGTTTTGAAACATCAAAGAATTAAACATCACGAAGCATCACTGTTACCAAGTTTATTATTGTCTATTTACTGTAATTTGTGAACCTTGCAGCAATTTCTTATCTGTCTATGTTTGTTGTATGAATTGCTGGTCCCCTTATTATTTACTTTCGAAGTTGGAGAGTACCCCTGAGGCTCTGAATGCCAGGGGAGCTGTCTCGTGGAACTTCGTGACGACTGATTTTTTCTATCGACGCGGTCCTTTGGAACGTTGTCTCCGTCCTTCGATAATACAGCACCTGAACGAAGAGCCACTATAGGAGCATCCACCCGGGGTACCTTCAGATCCTCCGTGATTTCATCAGGTAGGATGTAAAATTTCTCGGCAACGTTCTGTAAAGTTGATCCGTACCTTGGCACTGCCCACTCCGATCGTACGGCTTCACCAAAACAGTTGGGAAACGGCCACCCTTTTAGCTTCTTTGATGGTTGCTTAAAGCCTTTTTCATCTAAGCTGGATGTTGTCGATTTGGCACCCTTTTCTGTTGGTTCTGAGGGGTACCTGAGACTTGTCACTACCTTCCTGAGGAATCTACTGAAATGAAAGGAAGGCTGAGGAGAAGGGACAGTGCCCACTGGGGGGGAAATCCCGTCCTAGGATCTTGATGACTCAGAAGACTTCCTAGGGCATTTTGGGGGCCCTGTAGGGGAGCAGACTCACAGCCTCTGCAGTATCAGGCAGACTAGGTTGCTGCCAGTGTTCCCTCTAAGCGGAGTTAGTGTGAGCTAGCTCACAGTCCTTTAGCCTCCGGCTCACAGATTTTTGTCTTTTTGCTCAGGAAGGAGGGCTCCGGAGCAAACTGACACATGCAGTCGCCAAATCGCTCGCTCACCACTTTAATGCCAGTCGCTCACAAAGCAGAATTTTTGCTCACAAGACTCCACAGCTTAGAGGGAGCATTGGTTGCGGCTGCCTTGGCCTCACCACGGCACCGTTCTTCCTCCTCAGACAGGCATCGCTCCAACTCCTCCTGGCCCGATCTGGAGGCGGAGGGGTGGGGAGCCACTGTGGGAGCGAGAGACAGGGACGCTTCCACCGTCTCTGTGCTTCCCGAGCTGCCCAGTTTCAACGCGGGCGCAGCCTGTACATTCCGCCCCCCCCCCCGTCTGGGGGCCTTGGACTGGAGTGGCTTCTCCTTCCATGTGTCTTCTTTTTAAATTGTTGCAGAGTCCAGGTTCTTCTTCAGAGCACGTTCTTCCATCTCCCCGAAGAGAGGTGTGCTCCTCCGTGGGAAGAAAGCCAAAGAAAAATCCCTCAGTAGCCAGATAAGCTGAGCTGGGCTCTGGTGTTCTGCTTTGGAGCGGCAGGACTATTCAGACTGGAAGGTCATTCCCGCTATTTCCAAGCGGGGCCTACAAAAAATGTGCAAAGCCCTGGCTGGAGCAAAAGAGGGTGTGGCCAGTGTTCCCTCTAAGCTGAGTTAGTGTGAGCTAGCTCACAGTTCTTTAGCCTCCAGCTCACCCATTTTTGTCTTTTAGCTCAGGAAGGGATGGCTCCAGAGCAAACTAATTTATGCAGCTTAGAGGGAACATTGTGACCTAACCAGTCTGGATTACTTCCCCCACTGAAGAAGAAATGAAGAAGAAGAAGAAAAGAAGAAGAAGAAGAAGAAGAAGAAGAGGAGGAGGAGGAGGAGGAGGAGATTGGATTTATACCCCACCCTTCACAACCCAAAGGTGTCTCAGAGTGGCTTACAAACTCCTTTCCCTTCCCCTCCCCACAACAGACACCCTGTGAGGTAGGTGGGGCTGAGAGAGCTCTTTTGAGAACTGCTCTTTTTCAAGAACAGCTCTTATCAGAACTATGGCTTGCCCAAAGTCATCCAGGCAGGTGCAAGTGGAGGAGTGGGGAATCAAACCCGGTTCTCCCAGATTAGAGTTCGCGCACTTAACCACTACACCAAACTCTTGTTGGTCTCTAAGGTGCTACTGGACTAAAATCTAACTGTTCTACTGCGGACTGACATGGCTACCCTTTAAATAGTGAGATACCAATCGTAAAGCTACAATCCTAAAAAAAAACACAACACTTTCCTGGCAGATTTTTGGGGTGGAGCCTGAGCGGTGGGTGTTGCCTTCTGACACACTTCCGGTGATGTCGGGGGTGTGGCATATGCAAATAAGTTATGCTAATGAGGTATGCTAATGAGCTCCTGCACCTCTTTTTTTTACGAAATGACCCCTGACTACAGTTAAACAGTCAAAACAGAGAATCAATACCGAAGCAATCCAAGCACTCAGATGTTCAGCAGCACAACCTACTGGTGAGGTTGGTTATATAAGCGAGTGAGTGTGAGTAGAAGCGATTGAGTGTGGAGAGATGGATCCTGAGCCTGGGCCAACACCCCCAGCTGCAGACACCCCGAGGCCAGACTCCCCCTCCGAGTTCTCCTGAGTCCCCCAGACATAGGGCACGCCAGAGGCTGACTATGCAGGACCGAAGAAGGAGTGCCAGAGTGCAGTTCCTGCAAAGGCAACGGGAGGAGCTGTAAGCCTTCGCAGACTCAACTCCCACGGAAGGGAGGACCTGCTCAAAAGCACTCCGTGCAGCTAGCGCGGTAGCAGCTCTGTATGCTCAGATCTGCTTCTGGTGTGTAGCCACCACTCCTTGTTCCTGACTCCTGCAATCTGGGACTGATTCCCCGGCTGGCCAACCTTTGGCCCTGTTGTTTAACCTGATTCCGGACTGCGTTCCCAGCTTCCAGTGTGTAGGTAACCGTGGTAACCGGCTGAGCCAGCACACTTTCCCTTCCCAAAGCCCTGCCTTCCTTAGGCTCCACCCCCAAATCACTAGGTATTATCCAATCGGGACTCTTTTTATCTATGGGTGCAGGAGCTTGGCTAAAAAACCGCAAGTTGCAGTAAACCACGCAAATGTCAAAAACGAGAAACCGAGGAACAGAGAACTCCTAAGGTGTCGGTTCCAGTTCAGAAAGAAGACCGAGTCTTTAGGAACTCCAAAATCTGGGGAGGGATTTGGATGTGGAGGCTGCCTGTGGACCACAGCAGCTGAGGCAGCCTCAAGCAACCTCCCCAGCCAAAGACAGCCTTACCGTTCACTTGGAGACTGTTTTCCTGCACATTGTAGTGTCCCATTTTGCGGCCCCCGTTCATCCTGTCGCTCATCTCTCTGTGGACCTCTGCACGGTCAAAAGGGGCGGGGAGAAGATCTTTCTGGTAGTTGCAGACAGCGTTCATAGTCACACCATTTCCGGTCTGTGCGGCCCTAAGAAAACGCAAATGTGTGTTAGTGCACGCTGGGAAAGAGGAGGCTGCCCGCTTTACTGAGGCCACGGCAGGATGCAGAACTTCTCCAGGTCCACAGAGAACCTTCTTGATCAGTGAGTAAAATGCAGTAGGAGGTCCTCATTCGCTCCACCATCCACGCTATGACAGGACAGGACAGTGGGCTCTCACTACAGAGAGGGACAGAGGAGCAAATCTCTAGAAAGGCTGTCTGATTTTGCAAGCACTCCAGCTGAAATCAAGAACCACCATTTTTATTTCGCTTGTCCCTCGTGCGGACAGACGGTAATTCTTAATTTTTGCCATTTTCTCTCTCTCTCTCTCTCTCTTTTCCTACAAAACGTGTGAACTTTTTGACATGACTGGCACTTCAGTAAATCTGTATTAAAAATTATATGTTAATGTCTCTCAAAAAGGATATCGTGGTCATGGGCGAAGATGCAGAAAAGCGCGACCAAAATGATCCGGGGAGGGGAATACCTTTGTTGTTAGTGTCAGGAGGATCGCTGTGTTGGTCAGCAGAAGAAGATCTAGATTTGAGTCCAGTCGCACCTGAGAGCCCAATGAAATTTTCAAAGTAGAAACTTTCAAGAGTCAAAACTCCCTTTGTCAGATAAGCCTGAGCCTGGCGAAGAGAGATCTGACTCTTCATAGCTTACACCCTGAAATGCTTGTTGGTCTCTTTGTAATGATTTCATGTTTTGGGGTGTGTGTTTCTTTAAATGTTTAGTTTGACTGCAGTAATGTAAAGAGAGTGATAGAGGGAGACAAGTGTGATGTGATTGGCTGATGACTGAGAGTGTGGGAGGAGGGGTGTCTCTGAGAGGATTCTGTGTG